CGGCCCGAGCTTTCGGCTCGGGCCTTACAAAGCCGGCTCGTTTTTTTCCAACTTTTTTTCCCTTAAAAGGCAGCTGGTAGCTGCCTTTATTTGAGGCAGTTGGCTGCCTTTTAACAATTTTTTTTTGCAAGCTGGCCTGCGAGCCACACGGGCCTGCTCGGGCTCAGCCCGGCACCCCAAGATGGGGCTCAGCCCGAGCCTCGAGCAGAGCCGACTTGAGCTTTTTGCATGCCAAGCCACGGACAGCTCGAGCCCTCGAGCCTTTTTGCCATCCCTAAGCATATCCAACAAAATCACATTTAATGCCTCTCGGACTCAACTTGATCATATTAGTGTTTGTGTTCTTATAATAAGCAAGACATTACCACACTTTAAAGTATCCAATGTTAGATTTTCTTCCTTTCCACAATTCATAAGAAGAAACCTTCGTAAATTTAGAAGGAATCCTATTTAATATTTTATACGCACTCAACAATGCTTTACCCTATAAATTAAATAGCAACTTGGCATAACTTAGCATAGCATTTATCATTTCAACTAAAATTCTATTTTCTCTTTCAGCTAAGTCATTGTTCAGATGTCCTAGGGGTAGAACATTGATGAATTATGTTTTGTTATTCACAAAACATGTTAAAATCACTAGAAAAATATTTTTCTCCTCTATCGCTTCTTAAAGTTTTTATTCTCTTGCTTAAGTGATTTTCAACTTCATTCTTATATGTTTTAAACATATTAAAGGTCTCGTGTTTATGTTTTATCAAATAAACATATGTATATCTAGAGTAATCATCTACAAAGGTAATGAAATACCTATTTCCATCTCTAATTAACATGCCATTTAACTCACATATATCCATATAAATCAATTCTAAAATACTAGAAGTCTATTTATACTTTGATAAGGCTACTTAGTCATCTTATTCTACACATGTTTTACATTTAAATGCATCATTTTCATTGTATGATATTAAGTCACATTTCAACATTCTTTTTATGGTACTTTTATCTATGTGACCTAATCTAGCATGTCATAATGTAAATGAATCAACAATATAGGCAATATCAACTGATAAGTGTATTTTATACACTTATTTAAGCCATTAAAATTGAGTATTTGTTAAATAATTTGATGGAATATGACTTAATCCTATTTATATATTATGTGTAGGTTACAATCAATAGAAGATACGAGAATAAAGAAAATAAGTAGAAAAAACGACTCAATTACATCAAGGCAAAGTTTGGGGACTAGAATGCAATAATCCAAAAGTTGAATGGGACCAAAGAACGAAGAGTTGAGAACACCAAGAGTTAATTGGAGTTGAAGAGAAGCTAATGGGACAAGAAATTTTGGGAAAGAACCAAAACACACACTTCAGAAAGTTTAGGGACCAAATTACAAATTGGCCCCTAAAATAGTTGAACAGTGTGTACGCATAGCCTTACAGGTCGTGCGTACGCACGATTGAAAAATTTAACTTCCGAAACTAAATTGATGCTACTATACGTACGCACAAAAATGTACCATGCGTATGCATGGTTCAATTCCGACAAAAAAATTCTGTTTCCTTATTTTGTTTTGGAAAGTTTTGGTTTACAATTCTTTACATCATATTTATACCAAAAGTCGACAAAAACATGGGGGAACCTGATTTCTATGATATTGGAAGTTGAAAAAGAGAGAAAAAGGAGAGCGGGATATACATTGAAGAAGAAGACTTCATTACTTGGATCTGGAATTGAAGGCATAAAGTGAAGGATTTCAGATTCTTTTCATATTTTAATGATTCGGGTGATGTCATTCTTTTATTTTTCCCGTTTTTCCTACATTAATATGCTAGACTAAATATCTTTGTATTAGATGGATGACAAAACTGATTGACTCTTAGTTTTTAATTCAAGATCTTATGTTTTTATCTTAATTCTTGTGTTGTGATTTCTTTAATATGCATATCCATATTATTTTAATGTTTGCGCACCATTAGGACAATAAGTTGCTTATTCGTAGTGTTGGAAAACTCACGGCAGGTAGAACACTGTTATTGGAACGCATGAACAATGAATGTTAGGAATAATATTTGTGACGTGTGCGATCATGTGTGATAATCCTATACATCAATGCGTGTTTACCATATGAATTCGAACTAGGAATAGGATCGTCTTGTGGTAATCATAGGTTTATTATATCTTGGGAAAGAATAATAAATAAAAGTGAAATTATCGATCGTCACAATTGCATGAGTTGAGATAATTGTCATAGGTCGATAATTAGAACTAAGAGTTGATTAGTGGCGTCAGAAATCCAATACATTCACTCATTTGAATTCTAAAACAAATTCTCATCAATTTTACAATTTTTAGTTATAAAACTTAATTAGCTATTCAAACAAACATCAACTTTTAGTTAATCACACAAATTTAATTATATCTAATACACTGAAATTAGACTTTATTCCTTGTGGGATGATAACTTTTTCATCACAATTATTACTTGTACAACGAACCCGTACGCTTGCGAGACTTTGACGAACATCAACTTTATTATTAATCATCTTATCAACAGTATACAATTTGATCATTCCTTTACGAAAATATACTTTTTCCACAAATTTCCCATTTTGTGATAGTACAAGTTTACCGTACTCATAAATACGTTTTATGCCCGATTTTCCTAAGATATTTCTGACCCTATTCTTATTGGGAACATGTAGCACATTGGTCAAGGTAGCGATCTTGTCGGAAGTGAAGATGATTTCCACATTTCCTTTCCCTATCACCTTGGATCGGACTTCATTGCCCCATTTGAATCTTTGATCTCCATCAACTTCATAACATGCTTTGAATAAAGACTTGTCATATGATGCATGTACGGTTGCACATACATCATACCATCATCTAGGGACTTTTCCTTTGTTTGCGTTAATGTCGCTTACAGTGGCTACAATATTGTCACCTTTGATGGAGTTCACATTTCATTCGGAGTTGTTTCGTTTCCAATATCGACATTCATTTGCATAATATCTAGGTTTTCCACATACAAATCAACCACCTTTGGAATTCATCTTGGACTTGTTAAGGTTCCTTGAAGGATTTCTCTTCTTGGATTTGCTTGAAGGTTCATTTTTCTCTATAGCATTGGCTTTGGAATTGCCTCCATACATTCTTGTCTCTCACCCTTGACTCTTTTTCAATGCGAAGATATTTCTGCAATTGTCCAAAGAGTAATCTTTGAAATTATGTATGATTTTCTTCCAATATCTTTTTCAAGTTCCCTGGAGTTTTTGCAATGATCACTCCCACTTAGAAAGTTTTCGGGACCTCAATGTTGACCACTTTCAACTTGTTGACAAGAACTTGTAATTTATGTACTTGAGGAAGAAGAGGAATATTATCAAGAAATTTAAAATCAAAATATCTTGAAATTAAGAATTTTTTGGTACCTTCTTCTTTAGCTTTTGTACTTGTTTTCCAAAGCTTCCTATATTTCCTTTATAGAAGAAGTGTTCGTGTAGAGATCATACAACTAGTCTGATAAGATGTTGAGTATGTCACAGGGGCAAATCAATTTATCCTCTTGACCTTTTTATCTATCGGATCTTATGACATCAATTTCTCCACTAGTTGGTTCTACTAATGGTGCCAAATCAAGATCAAGGATGTAGAATATCTTCAAGCCATCAAAAGGAATTTCAATTTATCTTGCCATATTGTGAAGTTTGTTCCATTAAAATGAACCAAACGAACAAGGTCTTGATTCATCAACTATATTGTCGCCATAGTAGTTTTATTCTCTATTGCAAAAATATCATTTGAGATTGTTGGAAAAATATTATTTGCACACAAGGGAACGGAGAAGAAACAAAAACAAAGAATAAGATGAAGAAAGTGAAAAGGAAGAAGGCATAACGTAATCGTTGTCCTTAAACGATATTTTCCCCATCTCGAATTGAGTTTTGATGCTTAAAAGAATTTTGGCAAATGATTTGTAGGATATATCAAATCTTGTAAAAGATTTAACACTTAAACACTTAATGTAATCCTCTAAAACTTGAGAATACAAAGAAAAAATTGAATATAATAGAGAAAATACTTTGATTCTTTTGTGGAATGGAAGTTATGATCACAAGTGATTTTTCTTATGTTTCTATTGAACATCGATCACTTATATATAAGCCTCAATAATACTCCACAAAATGATGCCAAAAAAAGATGATAGGCCACCTGAAACTCAAATAAAAACAAGCATAAAGGCTAGTGAAAATATTTTATACAATCGCATAGAATTTGTTCTATGCAACCACAGAGATCGACCAATGACAAGGCCACCCTGCAAATGCCTATGCAATCGCAAATGTAGTCGCATAGGCTACCAATTTGGCCTTTATTTCCCATTTGTCATTCCACGTGCATTTTAGTGTTTTTGAACAATAATATACAATAGACGATTGAGGTTAAGAATACAATAATAAAGGTGGAAACATAGATGCGGAGGCAATTAAAGATTGAAAACATTCAGGTACAAGTAAAAAGTGGCAGCAAATAAAGACTATGGTGGTAGTATAATCACCTTATATTAAATACGTAAGAATATTATTATAGAACAAGAAGTTTAACGAAAATTGTATATCACAATAACAAAACAAAAATGATTATCCCCACTAGAAATAATAACAAACAACAACTTTAACTTGTATTATCATAAGGGCCATCGATGGTAAAATTATACTCAAAGGAATTTATCGTGTTGGATTTGAGGATAGCTCTATATATTAAGATTTAAGGTTTAAAGTTAACCTTAAGAGGAATATTAATCCAATTCTTTATATGTAAGTTATTTATTTTATAATCTTTTGATGTGATATTTTTCCCTTAACATGCTCTCGAAAAATGATGACTTATTTGAGCAAACCAATTTTAAAATTTCGTGTAATCATTTTTTAGTATTAACCTAGTAAAATTGTAATTTTGAACTTATAGAGTCTGATAAAGATAAAGCGAAATGAGACTGAAAATTACTTTTAAGTAATAATTTATGCACTTATGGTTGAACACAAATTTCAATGCAACTAGTAAATGACAATTACACGACAAAAATCCTTAGCCCAAACAGAAAATAACAATACATAACGACTTTACAAGTTTTTGTTGATAATCCTCTATTAATTGGAGTCAATTATCGATCAAAGATTGATATTTCATCTTATTGGTTAGTAGAGGAGTATCTTGAGCTCCAATACTTCTCAATTTCCTCAGCAGTTCTTCCGGGAATTCTTCCAGCAATCAATGACCACCTAAATCAATAAAAATAAATAAAATTACACTACTTATTCTTAATTTTTCGAAGAAAATTCGTAGAGAAAAAGAATTAGAAATTAATACATTACAAGGGGAGAAAAAAAATAAAAATGAAATCACCTTTCTCCAACTAAATTATACATCCTAGTAATTAGGGTTTTCTCATCTTCAGTAATATCTGGCTTAGGATTTTGACAGGTACTTTCTGCAGCTACCTCTTCTTGTAGGAATCAATCGATACAGTGCAAGAGAAAAGTATTAACAACACGTAAAACATACATATAATTCACATGTATAGAACAAAAAATACTACGATACTTATTAAAAAAAAAAAAAGTTGCATGATATTTCAAAATTCTACTTGTACTGCTACAAGAAATAGAGCTAAACTCTGAATAAACGCTTACCTCTAGAGTCCACAGATGCATCAATTTTATCAGAAATCGTTGAGTTACCCAAATCAGCCATTAGGGTTCTTAAAAAGGCTAACTGCACAAAAGTATTTTAAAGTCGAATTTTTAGTAAATTTTTTTGGAAACAAGTGTGGGAGGAATGATAGGTCTCTGTATATAAAGTAGAATTAGGAGGAAAGGTAGCTAAGGGTGATTCGAGGAAACAAAGGGGGAATTGAATTGCTAGTTTTAGAAGGAGAATGGGTAGTTGACAGAGAAAGAGTTAACTCAAGAAGGGTAGTTGACATGAGAGATGAGGTCCAAATTTGATAGGTAGTTGAACTTTAAAAAATTAATTCTTTTGGGTTTCTCAAGAAGGGGAAATTTTCAAGTATGGGTACTCGTACATAGTAGTACGTGTATATATGGGAATAAATATGCAACACAATCTAACTCTATTAATTTAGTTGACGATGCATTCTACTTAGTGGTTCGACGTTAACTAATAATTATTGTAGCAATCAATTCCTTACAATTGACCTCTTATTAATCTTTATCGCAATTTTTTACTATTTACTAATCCTTGAAATGGGGTTAGTGATAAAATGAGTATTTCGAGATTTTTTGGTTAATTGATAGTGTGTATATACTTTCAAGAATTGTGCTCTATTTTAAAGATCAGTAATTTCGAAGTCTAAATTTAAAGGGCCACAACATATATGTAGGGAATGCTAATAAGCAATTGACCAATTATGTAACTAAATTCACTTTAGTGACTCTCTACTAAATGGGTAAAAATATACTTTAAAGACATAAATGAAAACTAAATGAAATTTTTTTTTAAAAAAGTTCAATAATATTTGTTTAAATTAGTTGAAGCTAAGAAAATAGCTTATTAAGCTTCAAGTTTGCCATTTTTAAGTGATTCTATATTATTTTAAATATTAATTCAGACATATAAATATGTAAAAACACACATTAAAATAAAAGATAAATTTTCACTTTTCACTGCTGCAACAACCTTTCTAAGTATCTTTGAATTCACTAGATTTGGATATATACACAAGATCTAGGATATTTTTTGTTATTTTTAAAAGTAATTAGTAGACAATTTTACCAATTAAATAATGATGGATAACCTATTAAATAATTTCCAATTTTCATCAGTTAAATATTTTTGAAAGTCGTTCATAAGTAATCTTTTTAAGTTCAGGGAAATATCATCATAGTTTGTAGGAATGACAATGGAAGAGTGCAATGAATTTGAATGATATTTAGACGAAATGAGTTTTGGACTTATTTGAGCCCGAATGCGGTGACTCTAAACATGTAGATTGTTGTAGGTTTCTTGGAAAGTAGCATTGTGGCAGGTATGAGAATTAGGGGGAAAAAATAGGTGTTTGGTAAATATCGGATTCACTCACCTCCAGATTAGCAAATTTCAGCACGTTTTTACCGGAGATTGGGTCAGATGATGTAATCGTGCGTGAACGTGGGAGATACTCTAAGCATTGGACAAATATGTTCGGACACTGGCCATAAGCTTATGAATGATTTGCATGTTAAAGATTAATCATAAACAGCTCAATTAAAGCAATATCATCTAGACTTGAGAAGGCAAGAATGTAAACAAAGAGAGAAGAAATTGTAGCCTTAAGTGTAAAGAGTTGCAGTAGATTCAAAGTGTTTACCAGGGTTGATATTTATAGTGGTACAACATTGATCTCGACCGTTGGATGAAGCAGATGTTGTTGCATTCGACCCAATGGGATGTCCTATCATATCTGTTCCATCGTCCACTTGCCATATGGTACCTCATGTGTGTAGGGAAGAGGGGATTCCCTTTGAAGTGTGTTAGTGTACATGATGAATTGGGCTAATGGGATTTGACTTAATTGGACTGTCGGTTGTCAAATCAATCACTCGGCAGATACTATGATCTCTTTAGGAACTGCTTTTAATGTGAGGCAATTTGGAGAGATGAAGGGAGGGATGGCCTCGGCTGTAAAGGTCTTTGACGATTGAGTGGGCTTAGATCATTTGACTCTAGTCAACCTTTGACTTTTCCTTTAATTGTTGCATCCACGTGGTTGCCATGTATGCTTGGATTAGAGCTTTAGTGGCGAGAGAAACAATAGTCCCCTAAGTCGAAGTATAGTTATTTATATAATGCATGGACTTTGTTTGAAAATTTTATTTATTTGGGATGGCTCCTTTTCTTGCGATGGTTGGTTTCTCGTGTTGGATTTCGATTGTTCTAATATAATAATCCCCCAAGTTGAAGTATAAATATTTATATAATACTTGAAATTTTCATAAAAATAGTTTTGCCAAGGCTATGTACCTTTGATTTGTTGAACTTTCTAAGAGAAATTGAAGTCTCCTTGAACAAAGTCGTTTATTTGAAGAGTTGAAATGTTGAAGGGACAATTGGGGGTGATTTGGCTGAAGCTATCTATCATGAAGAAATTCTGAAATAGCTTAGGCCATTGGCCGAAGTTGTTGGCATTGGAATTGAAGTGAATTGTTTCTCCAATTTGCTAAGTCTGTAAATGTGTTGACTCCGAAGTTGTATGTTTTTTGAAACATTGAGAAAGCGAATCGTTTTTGATTATTGCACCTAAATAATTTGTTGTCCAGTGCGTCTTCAAGAAAAGGCAAGTGAGATGGTTCAATTTTCCATACACATAATCGTCACCAAATTCAATGAGTAGTGATGAGTGTTGTGGGCGATTCTTTAGAAGGCAGACACATAATGCGCGCTTGGGTCAGATGCTTTGATCTGAATAGTAAAGTACGAAGAGACGGATGTTATGGGTGGGTCAGATTGAATCTTAAATGAACGGTTAGATGGTTTGGATCCAAATCCAACGGTTGAGGTGGATGATCCTTGTCTATGAAAGGCCACAATTTTGGGAAAATCATTTTTTACTCTGGCAAAAAGAAAAATCAAACTCCTAATGACTCCCAATAGCCCTTGAACCTTTATTGATTTTACTTTCAATCATCGATCTTTTTCTGGCTACTTTTTTGAAATTCGATGACTAGTGTTTTAATCCCGCAAGTATCTTTTAACAAATATCCTCTTTCATTTTGAATATCATGTCTTCTTCTTCTTCTGAGGTAGGGAAACGAACATTAGGACGGTAGCTTTAGAGATAGAGGTTACTATAACCAGTATTGTCAACTCGTCCATGCCATTAGGGCTGGTCAAAGTGTCTTACACCATCTAGATTATGACGCACACTCCCTATGGTTGGCACTCTGTGTTTGTGGAGGGGCACACTCTCCATTCGTCATAAGCCTTCTCTCTCTCATCAAAGGATAGAAGAAGACCTGGTTCTAGCTGAGGGGGCAATGGCAGATGTGTAAGGGTGACAAGGTCCCTCACTTGACAATTCCAACCACTTACTCTGAAGCTCGTGAGTGTCCCACTTTAGTTGTTCTTGTTTTACAATTGATTTGATTCTGAACTTTGTATATGTTGCAAGTCATTCGATCACTTCGAGTTGACCAGGTAGAGTAGGGTATTGTAGAGGACATATACCTTCATCCTATATTTATTAGGAGTTCGAACGATCAATTGTTGCTCGTCGATTTTTTAGAGAGTTTGGACTGGAGGCTTGAAGAGGTAACACTTGAAATTTTCCTTATTACCTTAGAGTAACATTTATATTGATCACGTTTTCCTTTCATTTGCAAAAAAAAATTGAAAAGAGGAAGTACCTGACCCTAGACATGGCTTCTATCCTAGTGCAACTTCCACTATTGGGAAAAAGGGGTTTAAGCCCTCATCTGCTGTTGCCAAGTAGGTGAAGGACAAAGTGGAGAAGGTTAGCAAGGAAGCCACTGACCATGAAGGTGATGGAGAACTCCCCAAAGGACAAGGTGGAGAATAAGGTATAGGAGGTTTCTAAGAAAAAATTTACATTCTTTTCCATAGGGGATCCACTATCAACCTGTTTCTCGATCTAAAGCTCCTGCGGGGAAAAGTTGATGGTAGCATCCATTGATGCAAGGAAGAGGGATAGAAAAAGCCATCATCAGTGAAAACTTTGAAGTAGAAGTCTTCAAAAAAGGAGAGAGTGTCGAGCAACACCTCAACTACTTCAGATGTGAAACCTACCCAGACAAAGCTCTCATTGTCAAAAAGGAATAATGAACTGATTCCAAAGGCTCTATCCATGCTAACTTTAAAGGTTCATATGGCTACTGCCACATTCCACAAGTATTGGATGGATAGATGGATGACCTTCGTCAAGTCCAGTGATTCAACTGATCTTTTTGCTACAATGTTGAGCCAAACGAGGAGGGTGTTCAAAATTGCCATAGAGGCTGAAGTTCTCTTTAAAAACTTTCAAAAGAAAAATAAAGAGTTTTTTAATAAGACCTCCTAGGCCGAAAAAGTAGCTAAAAAACCCAAGGTCAATGCTAAGGTCTTTAAAAGTAGCAAGCTGGAGAGTCCATGAAGCTCGCTTCTACCTTAACAGCGAGATTGAGAATTTGGAAAAGGAAGTCCACCTGTCCTAGAGTGAAATGGCTTCTCTGACCAAGCGAGTGGAGATCTCTGACGAACATCAAAAATTGCTGCTGAGCCTTTGATAGGTCAAATAAAATTAATGCTGCCTTGAAGCTATTGGTAAGTAAGCTTAACTCCAGAGTTACCAGCCTTACTGAAGAGATAGAATTGTTAGGGCGAGCCCAATAGCAAAGATGTGTTAAGTAGTATATAGCCACATTTCACATTAGAAATATCAGAGCTTTGCCAAATGTTGGAGGAGTTTGCTTACATCAAAGTGGTAGAATAGATTAAGGTGCACTCAACTTTTAACATCACTGAGTTGAGGTCGAAATTCTCGGAGAAAGGAGAACAGGGAGAACCTCAGACTCTGGAGAAGGGTAGCCATGTGAGTGAACTTGAAGATGAAGCTAGCGGGGATAATAAAACTTCTAAAGTAGTAGGCCTCAATGCCATCATTTGATATTATTGCCTTTCAACATGTTAATGCTTTCCAACAACTTCGAACCTTTAGTAAGATTTTTCCAAACAAATTTTGCATGTGTTAGGACTTCACGTATATTTTGACTTTATCTTTCCTCAGCATATGGTTAGATGGTTCATCCATACAGAGGCTTCTCCCACTGCTTTTGTCACTAGAAAACATGTGTTATCTACTTCCACGAAAATGTAGAGGTCCCTTTAGGATCCAGCTTTTCATCGAAGTGCCCACACTTTCCTCCTTGGTGGATGGTTCATTAGGCAGAGGCTTCTCCCATTACTTTTGTCAATGGGAGGCACTTTTCTTTTAAGAAGAATTAAATAA